TTGTACCACAAAAATTTCGTACATGTCGGTCAAACATGCGGCGGGGGCTGCTTCGTTAAAGGTCACTTCCTGTTGCCACTAGGTGGCGCTATGACTGTGGGTGAATGTCGGCATGTAGATTTGTTCAGGACGGGACTCTTGTCAAATATGTAAAATTTCGTGCAGATCTGGGCATTTACAGCCAAGTTACAACAACTTCCTGTTTCATGGCGAATCATCGACGCCACGGACACGCCCATGGACGAAAACGCACAGATAGCACAACTTTACATCGTCAATGCCTTTAGAAGGCACAGCAGAAATGTGATGTCGATCCGACTAAAGCCCTAGGAGGAGTTAGTTAAAGTACGTAATGAGTAAATCATCCAAAAATGGCGGTAAAATTACAAATGGCTGACTTCCTGTTGAGTTTAGGGCATCGCTCCAAGAGACTTTTCTGTGCGTCTGGACATGGTAGATGTACCACAAAAATTTCGTACATGTCGGTCAAACATGCGACGGGGGCTGCTTCGTTAAAAGTCACTTCCTCTTGCCACTAGGTGGCGCTATGAATGTGGGTGAATGTCGGCATGTAGATTTGTTCAGGGCGGGACTCTTGTCAAATGTGTAAAATTTCGTGTAGATCTGGGCATTTACAGCCAAGTTACTACAACTTCCTGTTTCATTGCGAATCATCGACGCCACGGACACGCCCATCGACGAAAACGCGCAGATAGCACAACTTTACATCGTCAATGCCTTTAGAAGGTACAGCAGAAATTTTAAGTTGATCCGACTAAATCCCTAGGAGGAGTTCGTTAAAGTACGGAGTGTGTAAATCGTCCCAAATCGGTCGCCAAATTCAAAATGGCGGACTTCCTGTCAAGTTTAGGGTATGGGTTCTTGAGGCTTTTTTGTGCGTCTGGTCATGGTAGAAGTACCACAGAAATTTCGTACATGTCGGTCAAACAAGCGGCGGGGGCTGCTTCATTAATGGTCACTTCCTGTTGCCAGCAGGTGGCACTATGACTGTGGGTGAATGTCGGCATGTAGATTTGTTCAGGGCGGGACTCTTGTCAAATGTGTAAAATTTCGTGCAGATCTGGGCATTTACAGCCAAGTTACAACAACTTCCTGTTTCATGGCGAATCATCGACGCCACGGACACGCCCATGGACGAAAACGCACAGATAGCACAACTTTACATCGTCAATGCCTTTAGAAGGCACAGCAGAAATGTGATGTCGATCCGACTAAAGCCCTAGGAGGAGTTAGTTAAAGTACGTAATGAGTAAATCATGCAAAAATGGCGGTAAAATTAGAAATGGCTGACTTCCTGTTGAGTTTAGGGCATCGCTCCAAGAGACTTTTCTGTGCGTCTGGACATGGTAGATGTACCACAGAAATTTCGTACATGTCGGTCAAACATGCAACGGGGGCTGCTTCGTTAAAAGTCACTTCCTTTTGCCACTAGGTGGTGCTATGAATGTGGGTGAATGTCGGCATGTAGATTTGTTCAGGGCAGGACTCTTGTCAAATGTGTAAAATTTCGTGTAGATCTGGGCATTTACAGCCAAGTTACTACAACTTCCTGTTTCATTGCGAATCATCGACGCCACGGACACGCCCATCGACGAAAACGCGCAGATAGCACAACTTTACATCGTCAATGCCTTTAGAAGGTACAGCAGAAATTTTAAGTTGATCCGACTAAATCCCTAGGAGGAGTTCGTTAAAGTACGGAGTGTGTAAATCGTCCCAAATCGGTCGCCAAATTCAAAATGGCGGACTTCCTGTCGAGTTTAGGGTATGGGTTCTTGAGGCTTTTTTGTGCGTCTGGTCATGGTAGAAGTACCACAGAAATTTCGTACATGTCGGTCAAACAAGCGGCGGGGGCTGCTTCGTTAAAGGACACTTCCTGTTGCCAGCAGGTGGCGCTATGACTGTGGGTGAATGTCGGCATGTAGATTTGTTCAGGGCGGGACTCTTGTCAAATGTGTAAAATTTCGTGCAGATCTGGGCATTTACATCCAAGTTACTACAACTTCCTGTTTCATGGCGAATCTTCGACGCCACGGACACGCCCATGGACGAAAACGCGCAGATAGCACAACTTTACATCGTCAATGCCTTTAGAAGGTACAGCAGAAATTTTAAGTCGATCCGACTAAATCCCTAGGAGGAGTTCGTTAAAGTACGGAGTCTGTAAATCGTCCAAAAATGGCCGCCAAATTCAAAATGGCGGACCTCCTGTCGAGTTTAGGGTATGGGTTCTTGAGGCTTTTTTGTGCGTCTTGATATGATACACGTCCCCACCAAATTTCGTGCATGTAGGTTGAACGTGGACGAGGGGCTAATTTTTTCCAATTTTCTAGGTGGCGCTAGCGAGCCATTTTGCCCCGCCCATCCGCGAAACCCACAAAATACGAAATTTTTCACCAGTCCTGACATGCGTGCCAAATTTGGTGAGTTTTTGAGCATGTTGCGGCCCCGAAAATGGCACTTACTTTGCAGAAAAAATAAAAAAAATAAAAAAATATAGCTGCGAGCAGCGATTGCGAGCCCAAGCCGGTGGCACCGCAACCCCGATGCCTTTAGTTACCCAAAGGCACCGGGATGGTGGTACCGCCGGCTTTGGCCCTTTATCGCTGCTCACAGCTATATTTATATTTAATATAAAGCCGGTGGCACCGCCACCTTGGTGCCTTTAGGGTTATTCTGTACGACGTGTAAAAACGTAACCCCCGCTTTGACTATCAAAAAGAAGTGTATTGTAGAGCTTGCATCAATGCGGACTCGATGCGCTGTGCGCTGTAACTCCATGTGGCTTTAAGCGCATCATTCTCCACTCGGGATGCGCATAAGCGTTTTGTGCCACACTGTACTGAGCCTTTCATATCATAATGCAGTGACGCAATGACAGATTATTAATTGCCTTTCTTGTTCTGTTCCATCTATTATATGTTGATAATAGATAGGACAGAGCACTAAAAACCTCAAACAAAGCACTAAAAACTTAAGCTGTTTGCTGTGTAGTCTGAGAATGAGCTGTTTGATTTGCACCCTCTTCCTCTTCACTGTCCTCCATAAAAACCAGCTATCCAGGTCCATGTTGTTCTAGAAAGTTTGTATGTTGCTGCCTCAATTAACATCTCTGCTATACATTTAAAACATGGCTATATCTAAAATAATTTATCTTTTTGATTTTTGTTATCTTGTTTTTCATGAATATTTTACAACAATACAAAGAGCAATGTGTATTTTCCAATAATATAGTTTGTAATGGCTTTTTTTGTCATAGATTATAATCATATATTTTTTGGATTTGTTATTTATCTTTATAATGAAGTTGTCTGTATTAAGTAGATTGTGTTTAACACACACAAGAGTGATTTATTAGTTCAACACATAGTTATAGAAATTCTACTTTATCTAAAAAAAACCCTGCACTTTATACACACACACACACACACACACACACACACACACACACACACACACACACACACACATAAATACATGTAAATAAAAATACCAAAAAAAAAACATCAAATGTGTTTTTAGTCAGAGTATTATTTTATACAGAAACAAATATTTGTAATTCAGATAAGAATGAAGTTAGTGTTTTAAAATCTTAAGGAAAACAAATATATTGAAATATAGCACATGAATTTTAAATTCATTCAACTTCAATTACAAATACAATCTTACTTTTATTTAAAGCAATCTATACATTTAAAAGATGGGGGTTATATGCCTATTTTGTCATTTAAAAATATTGTTATGCAAAATTGTTATGCAAAAAGACAAGGACTTAGAGACAAGGACTTGTAGGAAAAATCACAGCCAGCCACACACACACACATAAACACAGACAACAGCCCTCCACTCCCCACACAGACACACACACCCACACACACACACACAGAGAGAGAGAGAGAGAGAGAGAGAGAGAGAGAGAGAGAGAGAGAGAGAAGAGAGAGAGAGAGAGAGAGAATCGCAGGGGAATTAAATCCATTCAAACTACAATATCTGACTTTCTGTTGCTCAGAGTGTCACGGGTGACAAAATCGCTCAGTAAACGGAACCTTCTTGAGAGTCCTGAGTTTCCTAGGGGAACGTATTGGGTGCAACACTCCACTACGGTTCCGGGTGTGATGGAAACATGCCCGTACTGATTAGCGCTAATGCATTGCAGGTGTGAGAGAGAGAGGAGCGGCGCTCACACAGGCTTCCTGTTTCATAAGCCACAATATAAAAGGAGCATTTAGAGAGTGTTTGCAGCGCGGTTGGTGGGTGTACAGTGTGTCAAGATTCCAAAGGGTTGACTCTGGGCAGTGCTGGATACAGGCTTCCTTGGAAAAATCGTTGGAGTGTGGAGATCGCCCATTCGAGTTTGCTGGGTCAGATTGATCGTTTGTGGGAAGACTGCTGGGCCGAGCTAGGGCTGGATCTGTGCTGTGGAAGGAGAGAGGAAAGATAAGTGAATGGTTTTCATCTTATGAACATTTGAACCACTTGAAGAGGATACAGTGAATGTGGATCTGACTGTTGGAGGAGCTATGTGTTTCAGAGTGTGATGAGGAGGAATTAAAAGTGAAAACCCTGTAAACGAGCGCAACGGCCGGAGTGGGGCCTCTGTCCAACCCTATCGTGTGAGTGAATTGCAGTGCTTTTGCCTTATTGATACACATTGATTTATTGCTGTGGAATTGAAGTGAACACAAGTGTGCTGTGTCTTTGTTGAGAAGTGGCCCCCATCCATGCTTACACGTTCGTGGAAGGTTGTTATATCTGCCCCCGTCAGAAGCCCAGAGTGATACAGTGAACTGAAGAGAGAGTACTTTGTACTGTGAAGATCCCCACCTGTTCGACTTGCTGTTTGAGCCTAGAAGCATACAGCACCACTGGTAAAGTAACCTTATGACTCACTGTCTCCCTATTGTGAACTGAAGAGAGAGTACTGTGTACTGTGACTATCCTCACCTGTTCTACTTACTGTTTGAGCCCTGAAATGAAGAGGTTCGATAGTAGACTAATTTTAAAGGATGTGAAACGCAGCAGGCAGTCGGTCAGAACTGTATAAGATGAGGCTTAGTTGAACAGACACACCAGGCAGGGTTCAAACTTCACTTATTTACTGAAGAGCTGGTTGATTTACATATGGGGTATGTAGGTGTGGTTCTATAACAAATTAAACAAAGAAATAAACATTAACATACATATACATCATTAATAATAAACATTATTAACAGCATTCAGTCTAACAAACCCATTAAGGAAGTGCTATCAGACAGAATAATAATTCTAAACATCACCACAAGGAGGTGCTAATAGCACATAAATGCGTTTAACTAGACATTCCATATGCTCAGTATACGGCGCTGATTACCTCATGATAATGATCATCTCTAAAGTAACCGTAAAACTAATAATAACATAATGTCTCATACATAACATAAAGTAACATGCAGAATCTCCGAAATATTACTAAAAAAGAAGTAATACAGGCAGATTTATGCCAATCGGTTACCGCTCGCGCTAATGAACATCGTCTAACAGTTTCTGCATACTAACGGAAAAACTTGGAAATATAAACTTACTTGGTATGTACGCACACAGCGACTCAATGTATATGTAAACCAGCTGAATAATCGTCGAACACTACAGATTAACTAAACTGAAACTGTCAAGTATCTTAACTAATAATTATGATGCGTCTTCTCTCTCCGACTGAATCCACCTCAGCACCAATTCACCTCAGCACGAATGTCACTATGGCAACCTTGTACTCTATGATTGGTTGAAATCGTCCAGGACATTTAAAGGTATCCGGGCCTTTTGTACAGCCGCCCCCGAATTCAAGAATTGAATTCGATCATCTTGAAAAGGCCTACATTTTGTCCTGGTCATCCTCAGGTAGAGCTGGAAGCTGGATGAGGCGAGCCGCAATCCGCGTGTAAGTCCTACCCTTAACATCTACGCTGGCTGTCCGGACCCGCCCATCGGTGCCTGGAAACACCTGAGTGATCTTGCCTACTGGCCAGAGAGCACGAGGAAGTTGGGGGTCGACGATCATGACCACATCTCCACTCTGCAACGACTTCCTCTCAGTCTGCCACTTCTGGCGAGCTTGGAGACTAGGTAAGTAGTACTTGAGAAAATGTCTCCAAAAATGGTCAGCCAGCAGTTGGCTGTGGCGCCAGCGCCTGCGACTCAGGATCTCGGACTCTTGGTAGACTACCTGAGGTAAGGATGCGTCTCGACGGCCGATTATGAAGCAGTATGGGGTTATTGGATCGGGGTCGGCCACATCCGAGGAGGTGTACCCAAGAGGCTTTGAGTTGAGAATACCTTCAACCTCGATCAGAACTGTTCTCAAGACTTCCTCAGTGACAGTCTGAGTCCCGATGGTCACTCTGAGGGCTGTTTTGATCGAGCGGATCTCTCTCTCCCAGCAACCGCCAAAGTGTGGGGCACCTGGCGGGTTGTAAACAAACTTTATCTGCTGGCTGGCGAGGTGACTCTGTAGTGCCTCTTGGAGGGTGGCGAAAGAGTCATCTAATTCCCGTTCACCTCCCTTAAAGTTGGTGCCTTGGTCGCTCAATAACTCGTACGGTTTCCCTCGCCGTGCGATGAACCGTCGTAGGGACATCAAGAACGAGTCAGAGTCGATACTGGTGAGAAGATCAAGATAGACGGCCCTGGTGGTCATACACTTGAAGATTATGCCCCACCTCTTCTCGTTCCGACGACCGATCTTAATAATGAAAGGGCCGAAACAGTCCATGCCAGTCGAGTAGAAAGCTGGACGAAAATATCTCTGTCTGGTCAGGGGTAGGTCGGCCATGAGGGGAATTTCTGGACGACCTTTCCATTTCCTACACTGCGTACACTGACGCTGGTATCGGCGGACAGCTTCTCGACCTCTCAGAATCCAGTATGACCTTCGGATCTCTGTGAACAGTCTCTCTGTTCCGGGGTGACACAATCTCTCATCATAATCCTTGATAATCAACTCTGTAGTAGGATGTCGAGGGTCAAGGACCACTGGATGAGCAACATCTGCTTCTAGTACCTCACAATGTCGGAGACGGCCTCCTACACGAATCAATCCAGTAGCAACGTCAAGCTCAGGGGAGAGTGAAACCAATCTGCTAGAGGCTGACACTGGTTTATCGGACTTCAGAAGTTTCAACTCATCAGGAAAGGACTCTGACTGAGCTTGGCGAAGGACTGCATGTTGAACGTCTCTTTGGAGATCAGCACTGGAAGAGTAGGCCGCCCCGTGAAGCTTCTGTCCATAGGCATTCAGACACTCTGACAGTGTGTTATAGTGAGGTGACTGAAGTGAGTGTGCAGTTGTGGTCACTAACCCAGAGAAAGCTGACTGTCTCAACTCACTGCTTGACTCTTCGAACGACAGAGGGGGCTGCCCGGGCCAACTAGCCGGTGGCAGCTTGAGGAAGGCTGGTCCCTGGCTCCAACGGCTCCCTGTAGCAAGGTCACGTAGAGGCTTGCCTCGAGTGATGTCATCCGCTGGATTGTCTGCAGATCTGACATAGCGCCAGTTGGCTGAAGCTGTTATCTCTTGGATCTCCGCCACCCGTGTTCCTACGAACACCTTGTAGCGACATGAGCTGGAAGTAAGCCATGTGAGCACGGTGGTGGAGTCTGACCAGAGCGTAGTGGAGTGAATGGGAATTGTAAGCTCTGTATTCAGGAGTTGGGAGAGTTGTGCTCCAGTGAGAGCGGCACACAGCTCTAAGCGGGGTATAGATTGCTGCTTCCGGGGCGCAACGCGGGATCTGGCGGCGACAAAGATGACTTCCACTTGACCTTCTTTGTCCTCTGTCCGCAGATAGGCCACGGAACCATACGCCTGCTCAGATGCATCACAGAAAACGTGGATGTCGTATCTACAGGACTGGTGATCCATCTGCGAGCTGACATAGCACCGAGGTAAGGATATCTTCTCTATCCCACTCAACTCTTTCTCCCACTCTAACCATGAAGTAATGAGTTCTTCAGGTAACTGCGGATCATCCCACTCGCGCTTCTTATCCCATAATCGCTGGACCAATACCTTCGCCCGGGTGGTGTAAGGGATCATATAACCGAGAGGGTCATATTGGCTGGCCAGCACGTGGTAGATACTGCGCATTGTCACAGTAGAGCAGCGGCTACCTCTGTGTTTGTAACGTAGGGTGTCAGACTGACAATGCCAGTGTAGTCCGAGCGTAGACTCATGGGTATCTTGTTGGCCATGACTAAGCCAGAGGTCACAGGTATTTGATCTTGACTCAGAAGGGAGGTGAGTAACCACTGACGGGCAATTACTGGCCCATTGTCGAAGCTCAAACCCTCCGGTGGTTAAGAGAGAACATAATTGGTCAACTAGGTCTCTGGCCTCTCTGGGAGAGTGAAGACTATGTAGACAATTATCGACATAGAATGATCTTTCGATTACCTCTCTGACTGGGTCCCCAGACTGGCTGTGGTCTATGACATGCCTCTGCAAGGCATAGGTGGCACAACAGGGACTGCATGTGGTACCAAAGGGGAGAACTTGCCACTGGTACACATCAGGGGGTTGTTCTGGCTTCAGGTCACGCCACAGGAATCTGAGGAGGGGCATGTCATCAGGGAGCAGCCTCACCTGGTGAAACATACCTCGAATATCACTGCTTATGGCCACCTGATGCTCTCGGAAGCGGAGCAGAACTGCTAAAAGGGATGAGCCAAGCGTGGGTCCTGGAAGGAGGAACTCGTTAAGACTGTGACCTTCATATTGGAAGGAGCAGTTATAGACAACCCGATTCTTGTTGTTATGCTGCACCATATGGTGAGGTATGTACCATGACTCTGCAGAGCTCATCACTTCCCTTGGTTGCAGCTTGGCTATGTAACCTGCCTCCTTCAGCCTCGTGATCTCCGCCTGGTAGGCCGAAGCCTGATCTGGATTCTTTAGCAGTCTCCTCTCGACACTCCTTAGCTGAGGAAGAACAGCTTCTTTGGCCATGGTTAGCTGTGGCATACTCTGACTCCTCAGCAGCGGCGTAGCATACCTCATAGTCCCTTCCACCTCCACTCTCACAGTCTTCTCCTGCAAGAGCCTAATAGCTTCTTGGTCCAGCTTAGATCTCGTCACCACCTTGTTGCTGCGGTACGGAATCACATCCATCTGCCATAATCTCTCTACGTGAGCAAACAGATCTGCGTTAGGGAGGATAGAGGTAAAGAAGCACTGGTGTGTGTTAATCTCACGACGAATCTCGTGGGTAGGACCTTGAAGAGTCCATCCTAAGCGGGTCTTAACTGCAGCTGGTCCACCTGGTGGGCCTAACCGGACTGGTTCAACAGGCGTAATGAGGTGTGGGCAGTCTGACCCTATCAACAACATCGGCTGCACTTTATCCATCTGCTGCAGTGGAAGGCCTGTTAGGTGTCGATACCTCTTCTTTAAGGAAGCCACCGAGTAGGTGTGTTCAGCAAGACCTAGTTTCTCAGCTGTAAAGGCATGTTGGATGAGATATTTCTTGTGAGGATGAGACACAGATGATACTGTGAAAGAAACGGCCGCCCCATGAATCACCTGCTGATCTTGTCTCACTGTTCTGAGTATCAGATCTTCTGATTGTCCTTTGAGATTCAGCTGCAGCGCGGCTGCTTGAAGGAGGATAGTCCTTTCAGACCCGTCATCAAGCACTGCATATGTCTCTAACGATGCATCTCCATTCGTGATGATCACCTTGCTCACCTTTAACATTACTCTACGGCTACTGACAGAACGGTCAACGTACAGGATGTCGTTTGTGGTACTCACAAGACAGGAGTTCTCTGGGGGTGGGAGCGTTGTACTGTCAGTCGCAACTTTATCATTCACATCATGCAATATAAGGAGGTGTCTTCTGTTGCAGGTCTTGCACAAGGCTTTCAGTGTGCACCTGGAAGCATGATGATTGCGGCCACATCTCCAACAACGATTATTCTTACGAATCCAGGCCTCTTTCTGGTCTCTGGTTAATTCTTTGAAGTTGTGACATCCATTAAGGAAATGACTGGCGTTATCACAGTAAGGGCAGTAGGCACGTACCTTCTCTTGATACCGTGCAGAGCTGGACCGGGACTCTAGAGCGGACACTCTGCGTTCACTGTCTACAGCAGGCTTCTCTGTACCCAGCAGGAAACTTGTCGATCGACCAGGAGACTTGGGGTTGTAACGGCCTTCTCGCTTCTTAATAGCTAAGGGTGGAACATAAGTAGTTGTCTTGGCAGTGTCGTCTTGGACCTGGAGCTCATACTCTAACCAGTCTGCAAAGTCGATGAGGGTGGGGACTGTGATCCTAGATGGGTGGACATATCTCTTAAAACTGATCTGTAGCTCGTGGGGAAGCTTGCCCTGGAGTCTGGACACGTGTGAGCCACATTCTAACTCAGATGCTCCCTCAGACCCCAACTGCTCCAACATACTCACTAATGAGCGTACACGGAGGGCGAAGAACTTGAATGCTTTAACATCACCTGGCTTGAGATTGGGACCTTCTAGTACTTCAGCTATATTCCGCAGCACAAGCTTGTGGGGCTGACCATACATCTTCACGAGAGCTTGCATAGTGTCTGTATAAGGTCTCACTGAATTACAGTAGGAATCTGCTACTAGTAGGGCCTCTTCCAGCTCTAAATGATCAGTCAGGATCTGATACTTAAAGCGTTCACTCGCATTCGTTGGCAGAAGATTCTCTAGCGCCATCCGTAATCTCGAAAACTGTCTGGGATCTGCTGCTGTCAGACGGGGGATGGTAGGCTTAGGGCCTTGGTAAACCTGCTCATAAACTGGCTGCATTTCTGATCTAGACGTCAGCTCTGGGCATGGAGTCTGTTGGAAGTCTCTACCACTTTGACGATAGCTGCTTCTAGGACTAAGTGGCTCATTGTCATGCTGAACAGCTGTTACAGGCTGTACTGAGTGGGCGTAGGACCTCTGAGAGGGGACAGGGCGACTCCTTCCAGCATACGGGTGCTCTGGCCTGGGTGAAAACGTGAAGTCTCCCATCTGCTTTGTCAGCTGCTCGTACTGGGCAAATCGATCTAGAGGAACCTCCCCAGCATACTCTGTAGAACCTCTCTGTCTATGGACGGATGATGGCACATGGGTGCGAGGGGCTGGAACTGGCGTTACTGGTCGACCAGGAGTCACTCTTTCTGTGGCTATCTGCTGAATTTCTTGTTTTAACGTAGCATTCTCCACTTGGAGCCCTCGCAGCGTAGAAAGTATCTCAGGTAGAATGTGACTGCGAAGCTCATTGCTATCTCTTTTCATCTCAGTCCACATAGCTTTAATATCAAAGAGATGCTGGTCTTGGCGGGGCTCATTATACTCTGGTGCCACATCTTCTGCTAAATCTGGCCATTCATCACATAGTAGTAGGCCATCTGGATACGGTGACTGGCTCTCTGGAGAAGATGACCGCGACACACTCCCAGCAGCTGGAGGAAACAGAGGCAACGCTCTCTCCACATTCGTTGAATCAGTAACTCGATAATCTGCTAGATGTGCAGGCAGCCTTATCCGTCGTCTAGGTCGAACAACAGGAGTGTCTGGCTCAAAGTGGGATGTCATCTCTCTGCTGTGATTCACGATCCGGCTCGAAGGACCATTGAACTGAAGAGATTCGATAGTAGACTAATTTTAAAGGATGTGAAACGCAGCAGGCAGTCGGTCAGAACTGTATAAGATGAGGCTTAGTTGAACAGACACACCAGGCAGGGTTCAAACTTCACTTATTTACTGAAGAGCTGGTTGATTTACATATGGGGTATGTAGGTGTGGTTCTATAACAAATTAAACAAAGAAATAAACATTAACATACATATACATCATTAATAATAAACATTATTAACAGCATTCAGTCTAACAAACCCATTAAGGAAGTGCTATCAGACAGAATAATAATTCTAAACATCACCACAAGGAGGTGCTAATAGCACATAAATGCGTTTAACTAGACATTCCATATGCTCAGTATACGGCGCTGATTACCTCATGATAATGATCATCTCTAAAGTAACCGTAAAACTAATAATAACATAATGTCTCATACATAACATAAAGTAACATGCAGAATCTCCGAAATATTACTAAAAAAGAAGTAATACAGGCAGATTTATGCCAATCGGTTACCGCTCGCGCTAATGAACATCGTCTAACAGTTTCTGCATACTAACGGAAAAACTTGGAAATATAAACTTACTTGGTATGTACGCACACAGCGACTCAATGTATATGTAAACCAGCTGAATAATCGTCGAACACTACAGATTAACTAAACTGAAACTGTCAAGTATCTTAACTAATAATTATGATGCGTCTTCTCTCTCCGACTGAATCCACCTCAGCACCAATTCACCTCAGCACGAATGTCACTATGGCAACCTTGTACTCTATGATTGGTTGAAATCGTCCAGGACATTTAAAGGTATCCGGGCCTTTTGTACAAGCCCAGAAGTATACAGCAACGCTGATAAAGTAATCGTTTAACCCACTGTCGCCCTACTGTGAACTGAGGAGAGAGTACTTTGTACTGTGAAGATCCACACCTGTTCTACTTGCTGTTTGAGCCCAGAAGCATACAGCACCACTGGTAAAGTAACTTTATGACTCACTGTCCCCCTATTGTGAACTGAAGAGAGAGTACTGTGTACTGTGACTATCCTCACCTGTTCTACTTACTGTTTGAGCCCAGAAGTATACAGCAACGCTGATAAAGTAATCGTTTAACCCACTGTCGCCCTACTGTGAACTGAGGAGAGAATACTTTGTACTGTGAAGATCCACACCTGTTCTACTTGCTGTTTGAGCCTAGAAGCATACAGCACCACTGGTAAAGTAACCTTATGACTCACTGTCTCCCTATTGTGAACTGAAGAGAGAGTACTGTGTACTGTGACTATCCTCACCTGTTCTACTTACTGTTTGAGCCCAGAAGTATACAGCAACGCTGATAAAGTAATCGTTTAACCCACTGTCGCCCTACTGTGAACTGAGGAGAGAGTACTTTGTACTGTGAAGATCCACACCTGTTCTACTTGCTGTTTGAGCCCAGAAGCATACAGCACCACTGGTAAAGTAACTTTATGACTCACTGTCCCCCTATTGTGAACTGAAGAGAGAGTACTGTGTACTGTGACTATCCTCACCTGTTCTACTTACTGTTTGAGCCCAGAAGTATACAGCAACGCTGATAAAGTAATCGTTTAACCCACTGTCGCCCTACTGTGAACTGAGGAGAGAGTACTTTGTACTGTGCAGATCCACACCTGTTCTACTTGCTGTTTGAGCCCAGAAGCATACAGCACCACTGGTAAAGTAACCTTATGACTCACTGTCTCCCTATTGTGAACTGAAGAGAGAGTACTGTGTACTGTGAATATCCTCACCTGTTCTACTTACTGTTTGAGCCCAGAAGTATACAGCAACGCTGATAAAGTAATCGTTTAATCCACTGCTTCATTACCGTGCACCCACGAGAGTACCCTGTACTGTGAAGAATCCTTACCTGCCATACTTACCGTCTGAGTCTGGAAGTCTGCAGCACCGCTGGGGAAAAAGTAAGCTTTTAATCCACTGCTTTATTATCGTGCACCAACGACAGTACTCTGTACTGTGAAGAATCCTTACCCGCCATACTTACTGTCTGAGTCTGGAAGTCTGCAGCACCGCTGGGGAAAAGTAAGCTTTTAATCCACTGTTTTATTATCGTGCACCAACGAGAGTACTCTGTACTGTGAAGAATCCTTACCCGCCATACTTACTGTCCGAATCTGGAAGTCTGCAGCACCGCTGGGGGAAAAGTAAGCTTTTAATCCACTGCTTTATTATCGTGCACCAACGAGAGTACTCTGTACTGTGAAGAATCCTTACCTGCCATACTTACTGTCTGAGTCTGGAAGTCTGCAGCACCGCTGGGGGAAAAGTAAGCTTTTAATCCACTGCTTTATTATCGTGCACCAACGAGAGTACTCTGTACTGTGAAGAATCCTTACCCGCCATACTTACTGTCTGAGTCTGGAAGTCTGCAGCACCGCTGGGGAAGAGTAAGCTTCTAATCCACTGCTTCATTACTGTGCACCAACGAGAGTACTTTGTACCGTGAAGAATCCTTACCTGACATACTTTCTCTTGGGTCTGGAAGTCTGCAGCACCGCTGGGGAGAAGTAAGCTTCAACCCCCCTGCTCCATCATCATACATCGACGAGAGTCTCTTGAACTGTGAGAAACCTTTGGCTTAATAAAGATTGTTACTCCTTTGAAATTTATCTCTGTCTCCGGGTCCTCTGTTGTGTGCCTGTGGTGTCGGCTCCTCACGGTGGTGACTCAGTTAGAGGGGGGGTGGTTGGTCACCCGAGCGTTCCTCCCCTCGACCTGTGACATCAGAAGTGGCGTAGTCGGCAGGGTACACACCGTGAGTTGTAGCGGCCACAGGTACGCGATGGCGGACGAAGAGGCACCTGCGGCTCGTCCTCAAGTCATGCCGATCTTCATGGGAGCTCCCTGGGCGCAGCGCTATGGAGGACCGGGATCGGAGTTAGGCTTACAGGATTGGAAGGCGCAGACGGAGTATCTGGCTGGACTACAGGGACTGAGTGCAGCACAGAGAGTACAGTTTGTGTTGGGGTCGCTGGAAGGAGAAGCCAAAAGGGAAGTTCTGGCTGCATCGGAAGCCACACGTGCTACCGCAAAAACTATCTTCGATTTCTTGTTCGGATTATATGGAGACTCCACCCCAGTGGCCACTCTTCGTGCCCAGTTCTTTAACTATAAACAGGGCCTACGCAGACACTTCGGGCATACTCCTTGAAGTTGCGGGAGCAGTTTGGCTGGCTGAAGGGGCGACCGGACCATGGACTGGGTGAAGGGGATGACTTGTTACGAGATCAATTCGTCTTGGGGCTGCGTGAAGGGCCAGTACGTCAGGGCATACGACTCCAGCTTCGACGAGACCCCACTATGACCTTTGAGGCTCTGCGACAAGAGGCCTTGGCGTTAGAACTGGACCAGGGAGAGGTAACTCGCACACCAGTCTGTGTGGCAGCAAGTAGTGCCAGTGGACCTGCGCCTGTCGAACCGAGCGATTGGAAACAGAAACTGAGGGCCGAACTGTTGGAGGATGTCAAGGGACAGATGGCGGAATTATCCCGGAACCTGCTGGGTGAGCTTCGTCGAGGGCGAGTTGAAGGCGGAGCAGTGGGGCGAGAGAGGTCGTATTCAGAGGAAGGGCGAGGTCCTCTGCGCCGCCCCCTACGTCCTGTGGGCCCCCGGTTCCAGTGGGACGACCAAGGAAGGCCCATTTGTATAAATTGTGGAGATCCTGGACATATCAGTCGCCAGTGTGGGCTTCGTCGGGGTTCTCAAGGGGGTTTTTAGTTCCACCGGCCACTGTGGGTCAAGTGGCCGGGACCCCTTTGCGTGACCCTCTTTCTGTTCCTGTTGCACGAGATGACTGGGTGGGACATTGCCCTACCGTGGAGGTTCAAGCTAATGGAGTCACGATAGACTGTTTGGTTGACACAGGGTCTCAAGTTACGCTATTCTCGGAGAGCCTGGCCCAGGAGTTGTTCGCAGATCATCGGCTCCAAGCAACTGAAGCTTCCAGGCTGACCCTACGGGGGGCTAATGGTTTGGACATCCCCTACACGGGGTACATCGTGGTAGACTTTCTTGTCCGAGGGGTCCCCGTCCAACAAAAAGGGGTAGTTATTGTCCGAGATCATTGCTTGGGAAATCATCGAGCACTTTTAGGGATGAACGTTATACTGGATTGCTGGGAAGAATTGTTTCGGGGGCCGCCGGCTCGGATGTCTCCGTCACCGGCAAAACAGGACTGGGACCGAATTCTGGCCGATTGTAAAAGAGTGCACGCAGCTAATCACATAGAAGAGAGGGAAGACATCGGTCGAGTTGCCTGTAGGTATGCTCTGTCCATCCCAGCTCAGAGTGAGACCGTTCTTTGGGTCCGAGTACCCGCAAGACCCCGTGGGTCAGGCACCTGTGTCCTGGTAGAGCCTCACGAAGATTGTCAGCCAGTTGAAGTGGCTCACGGACTGGCGGTTGTCCATCGGGGGCGAGTCTCAGTAAAAGTACGGAACACAAATCCTTACCCAGTGCTCCTTCGTCGACACCAACGTCTGGCCCGAGTTTCCTCGGTACGTCCTGCCCAGGTGCACGAGCACCAAGCTGTCTGCTTCAGACAGGTGAGCCCTGCGGTGGTGGAAGTTGCCGTCCGCCCTGTTGAGGTAGAACTGGGTTCGGTTGGAGGAGGGATGCCGGCCCATCTGATGGGAGAGTCCCTGAAGGGTGAGAATCTGGACGAGGAGCAAGTGGTACAGCTTCAGGAGCTTTTGAGGAAGTGGCAACATGTGTTTTCAAAACATGAAGAGGACTATGGCTGCACAGGGGTGGTGAAGCATCAAATACCCACTGGTGAGGCGACGCCTAGTCGAGAGCGGTACCGTCCGGTGCCCCCCACTCTTTATACCGAGGTCCGCACCCTGTTGAAAGGTATGCTGGAGGGAGGAATCATCCGAGAAAGCAGTAGTCCTTGGGCTGCGCCCATCGTTCTGGTGCAGAAGAAGACGGGAGCGTGGAGGTTTTGCGTCGACTATCGCAAACTTAACAGTGTAACGAAGAAAGATGCATTCCCGTTGCCACGGATTGAAGACTCACTCACCAGTCTTACCCAAGCGGCATGGTACTCGACATTGGACCTGGCAAGTGGATACTGGCAGGTGCAGGTGGATGACCGAGATAGGGAGAAGACAGCTTTCACCACCCCGTTTGGGTTATTTGAATGGGACCGTATGCCGTTCGGTCTGTGCAACGCTCCTGCGACTTTCCAACGCCTGATGCAGCGCTGCCTAGGAGGACAATTAGTCGACTCAACGCTGGTCTACCTAGACGATGTGATCGTCTTCTCCCCTGATTTCCACACTCACCTGCATCATCTGGAAGGAGTTTTCAGGGCCATGGAGAAATATGGGCTGAAGCTTAGGCCGGAAAAATGCCAGTTACTGCGGAAAGAGGTGCAGTTCTTGGGACATCGCGTCAGTGCTGTAGGGATCTCCCCTGACCCAGAGAAGGTGGCGGCGGTCCAAGGATGGGAGCCACCCCGGACAGTAAGACAGGTGCGGTCGTTCCTGGGCTTTGTGGGATATTATCGTCGCTTTATAAAGGGATTCTCTGGGCTTGCTAAGCCACTGAACCAACTCTTGGCTGGCACTGGACGTGCCCGTGGTAAAGGCTCCCCCTCAGTACACTGGGATTCCACCTGTGAGACCGCTTTCCAGAACCTTAACCAGTTAACCTTCGGGCAACCGACGGCGCTCTGAAGCCCTCCCCCCCCCACTAGTTTAATGTTTATGAATGGATTTAACATGAAAGAAGATCATTAATCTTGGCAAACTATATATAATTTTAAAGGTCTAAGCCTCGGGCATCGATGTCAGTGCACTGTTTTTCGATGGAAAGCTTATAACAAATGTATTTCTTGCATTTAGGTAAGCAGTACACATAAGAACGCACGTAAACAAAAACGGAGTACTCACCATTATTTTGTAATAACGAGCCAGACACGCATCCACTGTTAAAAATTCCAGATTGAATGGAAAGCTGAGGGTCCACTGAATAACATCCCATAGAGCATTTTTTGTCCAAAGAAAAAATAATGTTGTAATATCCATGGTAATTCCTTTGTTTACATCGCGTTTCTTCAGGGTGAATATCATGCGGTTTTGTTATGCAATAAAATAGTCCATAGAAAACAGACTCCCGGTAGCAGACCCTTATATGGGTGTGTTGCTTAGAGTGTAATGAACAAATTACGACCGCGCACACACACACAAATACAAAGATAAGCGATATCTAGTTCAAAATATGCAAACACTGCAGTCCGTTTTTTTGACGTCATGATATGCACATCATATCATTCTGTCTTTATAACGAAAGCCAATAAAAGAAACGACATGATATGACTGGTAAAACATGTAGCCAACCAGTGCACGATTCCAACGATGCCCGGGAAGTTTGAATTTCTCACACGAACATATGTTTTTATTTGCTCTCCGTCCGGTAGAGGAGCTAAACTCAGGCTCTGCAGAGCCACAGCCACACCCACCGATGTCATGTTTTGACAGGCCTGCTATAGCTAAGAGCTAAGATAACAAGCTAAGAGGTAGCTAGTCAACAAACATCTGTTCGTGCAGACATGCAGACTGTCATAAAATAATTTGTCAAAAGAAGTATTTTTCTGCTGAAGTAGTTATTCGAGATCACTCGAAGATGGATTATGTCGACATTGATGAGAAGATGAGTGATGAGAAGATCGTGACGACGGTGATAATTATGCTTGAGGGCGGAAAAGATTATCCAATTTCGGTGAGTTGCTTTATACATAACTTATGTAACATGCACACATTATACGTATGTGTGTGTGTGTGTTGTGTGTGGGTGGGTGAGAGAGAGAGAGAGAGTGTGTTTGGTTTCCAGTTGTTTCATACGGAAAATGCATTGTGTAAAGTTGTGTCTGAAAAGATTATGCTACTTTATATGCATTTATTTATTTGTATATATGTATTTATATGCGTTGTACGGTTATGCAGTTGTTTGCCGTTTTTTTCTGGCACATGTGGTGTGCTATCTGAAGGATGGAGGGGCTGGACACCTGTGCAATATACATTTTTTCCTAGCACACATACTGTATATTTTTACAGTCTAATATACATATTTATAGTACAAATGCAAATATTTGTACTGTAAATATGATGTATGTTGTACTGTAAATGTATATGTTGTATGTATATGTATATATATATATATATATATATATATATTGTTTTTTTTGTTTTTTTTTTTTTTTGCAGAAATTGGTGGGAAAAATTGCAGAAAATATGTGCTATATAGGAAGGAGTTGTATGCTTTCAAAATGCCACATTCCTGTCTGATGGCCGGCCATCAGTGTGATTGTTGGTTCTTTGTCTGGTCATCCATATGAATGCTGTCTATATCACTGGCCATCGGCATTGATTGTTGATTGAATGGATGAGCTTTAGTACGAATGCTGTGTAAACGACTGCCCATCAGTTTGATTGTTGAATGAATGGCCAGCTATATAGAAACTAAACAGAATTATTTACTTGACATGCAGTGCTAATTATCTTTCCATTCTTTCCCATGCAACAGCCATCAAGTTGAATCTTCAGATGATGAATGGCATCCAAGCACCAGCCAGAGATGCAAGCTCTCAGTTTCTTCACTATTCTTCACTTTTTCCATACTTTTCAGAACATTGCAATTGACAAGAGGATGGTGGCATCAAAAGCTAGGAATGGACTAAAGCAATATATGAAACAAAGTACAGTATTTATATCACTTGTATTTTCTATTGCAAAGAACCTCAGTTATTTATTTTTTATATTTCATAATATTTTACTTATGTATTTTACATATATATTTTTTTGTTCTGTTGTGCAAATAAATCACTTGCATAAAGTCTAATGGTTGTGTGTATTATTTTATAATTGCATTATTTTATGAATTGACTGAAATAGCTTGCAGTGCCCTGCATAACATTTGGTCATTAGGTTGCTTTTTGATGTATCCAAGGAGGTTTCTTGGTACCTGGACATAGTCTTGGAAAAAATATTGTAGGAATCTCATTTTTCATAATATCTTTCTCAAATTTGAAATATAAACTGATGAGACTTATGTCTTTCAATCAATTACCTAACTGGATTCCTACAGGTTTGTTTTCATTTATTTTTACATGAAATTGTAAAATATTACATGCAGTATAAATTATCTTCAAGACACTTTAAATTCTATAACTTTTGTCTGTGTAAGTTTTTTCAACTTTAACAGTTGGGTAATACACTCTAAAGTGTCTTCATTTTAAACATGTCTAAATTGTGCATGTAGTGCAAATAGTTGAGCAACTGCAAATATTTTAGTTTGGGCATGTTATTTCTGGGGATGTGCCTCAGGCAGGGGGAGGGAGAAAGGGAACTGACATAGTCTTGGAAAAAAGTTTGCAGGAACCCCATTGTTCATTATATCTTCCTCAAATTTGAAATATAAACTGATAAGACTTGTGGCTTTCAATCCTTTATCTATCTGAATTACTCCAGGTCTATTTTATATATTTGTACATGAAATACTAAAACATTTTTGTGGCGCACATATATTTTGAGCACTTTTAACTTTTATAACTTTTTTTCTGTTTGAGCATTATCAAATCTGATTGATTGTTAGTAGAGTCCCAACTGTCTTCTTTCCAAGATACCTTAATTGTGCCTGTGGTACACTGTTCTCAGGTCTGGGGCATGTCATTTTCAGCTGTGAGCCCCCTTGTGGAGCTGAAGGTTAACAGGGTTAATAGATATCTGTAATGTTAATTGTGAGTAGTCGAAATGGGACAGATAGAGTATGGCAAGCTGTTTAACATTTAATCATTTAATCATGAAAGGGCCAAAGCCTGCGCCACCGCCACCCCGGGTGCCTTTAGAGTAACTTAAAGGAACCTCGGGTTTGCGGTGCCACCGGCTTGGCCGCCATCGCTTGCTCGCCCAGTTATATTTTAGGGCCCAAGCCCTGAAAGGGCGAAGGCCCTATTGTTTTCCTAACGATTATATTATTATTATATTATTATTTATACGACTATTTGGGCACTTTTGGGGCCCTTAACATGCTCAAAAACTCTTGAAACTTTGCACACGGGTCAGAATCCGCGGCCATCAGGGCCGGGCTGAAGATGGTACCCGGGCGTGGCAGGGGGGCTAGACAGCGCCCCCTGGAACGGGGTCCGAAAACTTGGTCCATAACTCAAACACGCTTGCATGTAATAATATGAAACTCGGTACACATGTTGATCTCATCGTTCATATATACCTCAAACTATTACTTTTTACCCCAGCCCAACAGGAAGTCGGTTATTTAGGGTTGTTCATAAAACACTCGCAATGGAATTTGAAGTACTCCTCCTAGAGAATTCAAACACACGGCACGAAACTCGGTCAGCATGAAGTCAAGGCATTGAGGATGAAAGTTTGCGAGGGGATTTTTGATATCTCGAACGGTTTGGCCGTGGCGAGGAAACGAACTTATGGCGAGAATCGTGAAACAGGAAGTGTGTCAGAACTTCAGCATACATTAACTGATCTTGATGAAACTTCAGCAGTTTGTTTGCTGTAAGAGGACGATCACATGGATGTGAATATTGTGAGTCAAAGTTATAGCGCCACCAACTGGCAGCAGGAAGTGTGTCACTTTCAAAATGCTTTGAAATCACCCTCTTATTTTTACCCGATTTGCTTCAAACTTAATCTGTATAATGTAAATACATAGCAGATGAAGACCTGTGAATGGATTCTTGATATCTTTGATACTGTTGCCGTGGCAACGCATCAAACTTTAAAATTCTTTTTTTTTGATGATTTTGAGACTCTTAGCGGCTTTTGGGGCCCTTAACGGGTTTGAAAACTCTTGAAACTTTGCACACAGGTCAGATCCCACAGCCATCAGAGCCGGGCTGAAGATGGTACCTGGGTGTGGCAGGGGGGCTAGACAGCGCCCCCTGGAACGGGGTCCGAACACTTGGTCCATAACTCAAACACGCTTGCATGTAATAATATGAAACTCGGTACACATGTTGATCTCATCGTTTCATCTATACCTCACACTCTTACTTTTTACCCCAGCCCAACAGGAAGTCGGCTATTGAGGTTTGTTTGTAAAACGCTCGCAATGGAATGTGCAATACTCCTCCTAGAGAATTCAAACACACGGCACGAAACTCGGTCAGCATGAAGTCAAGGCATTGAGGATGAAAGTTTGCGAGGGGATTTTTGATATCTCGAACGGTTTGGCCGTGGCGAGGAAACGAAATTATGGCGAGAAACGTGAAACAGGAAGTGTGTTATAACTTCAGCATACATTAACTGATCTTGATGAAACTTCAGCAGTGTGTTCGCTGTAAGAGGACGATCACATGGATGTGACTATTGTGAGTCAAAGTTATAGCGCCACCAACTGGCAGCAGGAAGTGTGTCACTTTCAAAATGCTTTGAAATCACCCTTTTATTTTTACCCGATTTGCTTCAAACTTAATCTGTATAATGTAAATATACGGCAGATGTAGACCTGTGAATGGATTCTTGATATCTTTTAAACTGTTGCCGTGGCAACGCATCAAACTTTACCATTCTTTTAGGATGCTTTTGAGACCCTTAGCATGCTTCAAATCGCATGAAACTCGACAGACACATCACATTTATTAGCCAGTAGACATGTGCAAAGTTTCAGAAACGGGCGTGGTGAGGGCTCAGTAGCACCACCTTTTGACAAAAGTGGGGTTGTTAGTTTTAACTAGAGTTACAAAAATCGGTATGTATATTGTACTCCTCGAGCCGGACAACTTTCTAATTGACACTCATTAGCTAGGACCCACAGAAAGTCAGATATCTTTGTTTGAATGTAGAGAAAATCTTAGAATTTTGCCAGTCTCTCAGTGTCTCTCTGTGTGAGTGAGAGGAGGGGCGCCTGTCAGGTTAATTTTAACCCTTTATTTGCTGTGTGCGACTTCTCTGGCATTTTCGGGGGCCTTAACATCCTCTAAAACTCTTGAAACTTTGCACACGGGTCAGAACCCATGGCCATCAGGGCCGGGCTGAAGCTGGTCATCGGGCGTGGCAGGGCGGCTCGACAGCGCCCCCTGGACTGGGATTCGAACATTTGTCCATAAATCAAACACACTTGCGTGAATTAATATGAAACTCGGTACAATTATAGATCACATCAGGCCAAACAACTTTCGTGCTCTAAGTTTTACGACAATTAAAATGGAAGTTGAGAATTATGGGTTGTTTGAATAGTTGTCCTAGGAGAAATACATCAAATTACAACGCATGTGTTTACCAATCACAACCAAACTCGGTGTGCAAGAAGTCAAGACATTGAGGATGAAAGTTTGTGAGGGGATTTTTGATATCTCAAACGGTTTGGCCGTGGCGAGGAAACGAAATTATGGCGAGAAACGTGAAACAGGAAGTGTGTTATAACTTCAGCATACATTAACATATCTTGATGAAACTTCATCAGTGTGTTCGCTGTAAGAGGACGATCACATGGATGTGACTATTTCGAGTCAAAGTTATAGCGCCACCAACTGGCAGCAGGAAGTGTGTCACTTTCAAAATGCTTTGAAATCAACCTCTTATTTTTACCCGATTTGCTTCAAACTTCATCTGTATAATGTAAATACATGGCAGATGAAGACCTGTGAATGGATTCTTGATATCTTTGATACTGTTGCCGTGGCAACGCATCAAACTTTAAAATTCTTTTTTTTTTGATGATTTTGAGACTCTTAATGGCTTTTGAGGCCCTTAACGGGTTTGAAAACTCTTGAAACTTTGCACACAGGTCATATCCCACAGCCATCAGGCCCGGGCTGAAGATGGTACCTAGGCGTGGCAGGGGGGCTAGACAGCGCCCCCTGGAACGGGGTCCGAAAACTTGGTCCATAAATCAAACACGCTTGCATGTAATAATATGAATGAAAAACTTCATCTGTATAATGTAAACAGATGAAAAACTTCATCTGTATAATGATGAAAAACAGATGAAAAACTTCATCTGTATAATGTAAACATACGGTAGATGTAGACCTGTGAATGGATTCTTGATATCTTTTAAACTGTTGCCGTGGCAAAGCTTCAAACTTTGAAATTATTTTAGGATGCTTTTGAGACTCTTAGCATGCTTGAAATTGCATGAAACTCAACAGACACATCACATTTATTAGCCAGTAGACATGTGCAAAGTTTCAGAAACGGGCATGGTGCAGGGACTAAATAGCGCCACCTTTTGACAAAAGTGGGGTTGTTATTTTTATCTACAGTTACAAAAATCGTTATATACATTGTACTCCTCAAGCCAGACAACTTTCTAATTCATAGTCATTAGCTCAGACCAAGAGGAAGTCAGATATTTTGGTTTGAATATGGTGAGACTCTCTCTGAGCCTACGTCCGTGTATGGCAAGCCCTTTTAACATTTAAAAGCTAAGTTTGCCTATCCGGAAATTAACATTGTAGATATCAACAATGTCTTTCTGTCTAGTCGTAATTACATTTTGGATAGTTTGTATTATCATTTAAGATATCTGTAACATAATTGTGACTAGTCAAAATGACAGACTATGGCAAGCCGTTTTAACATTTAATCATGAAAGGGCCAAAGCCTTCGGCACCGCCACCCCGGTGCCTTTAGGTAACTAAAGGAGCCGGGGTTGCGGTGCCACCGGCTTGGGCCCGCCATCGCTGCTCGCAGCTATTATTATTATTATTATTTTACTACCTTTGGGCACTTTTGGGGCCCTTAACATGCTCGAAAACTCTTGAAACTTTGCACACGGGTCAGAACCCGCGGCCATCAGAGCCGGGCTGAAGATGGTACCCGGGCGTGGCAGGGGGGCTCGTCAGCGCCCCCTGGAACGGGGTCCGAACACTTGGTCCATAACTCAAACACGCTTGTATGTAATAATATGAAACTCGGTACACATGTTGATCTCATCGTTTCATCTATACCTCGCGCTCTTACTTTTTACCCCAGCCCAACAGGAAGTCGGCTA